ATTAACGTAAAAAACTGGTTGTTTTTTCTCGACGAGTTCAATTATTTAGACCACCACATCGATTTTACCTTAGAGTGAAGAAATCCTTATAAATAATTCAAGACTTCCAATTAGATTAAAAAAAACGCTAACGAAATTGGTAGGGGATAGGGGTTGCAACATTTGCAGAATAAAAGTTACGAAATTCATTCAGGGATCAATTTTTTTTCTAAGAATATTTGCTATTTAAATATATTTTCTTTGCTTATTTCCTAATTTTGTTTGATAACATTACTCAATATTTTAAGTTGTGAGATAAAAATTGTAAGATAAATTTTGAGTTTATTATTACAGTAAGTTTTTATTACTTAATATGTATGCGATATTGCATTGAGAAAAGAGTATGGTCAAAACTATCAGAATATGGTAAAATTTAACGAGTTTGTGACTCGATAGAAACGACAAAAAGGTTGGGTATTTTTTACCGAAAAGTTTTGGTAATGAATTTGGTAAAATTAACAATGGAATATGGTTATCTAGTAGATAAATTTTGGTAATTTTATAAGAATATCTTAGGACATGGCATTAAAACCATTTACTCGGTGAAATTTACTTTTCAATTTTATTTTTAACTCAATGCGTGATAATGAAAACTATAATTTTTAAAACCAGAATTCCTGGTAAACTGTTGCCATATGAATGATAAAACTATCAAATAAATGGTTTAAATACTGTATATTCTTTTATTTACCGGGATTATGTTTTCCTTACCATAAATATCATTACCATACAACGCTAATTTTTTTTCCAAAATTTTTTGCTCCATATAGAATGTATCTATAAGTTTATCACAATATGACAGGTTCATTTCGTAACAAAAATTATTTTGATTCCATATGCTACTTTTATTTGTTTCGACAATTACTTAAGATTGTAGATATGATAAAAGCATATTATAAAAGATTGAAACATTTTATGCGATATTTATTTTAAATTTTAATATCAATGTAGCAAAGTGTATTATGTATCTTTTTTACTTTTCTCATTTGTTCGATTGTGTTTTTTTCTTTTTCACTATATATTTAAATACGTATGTTTTTTCAATGGGTACTTTTCCTTCTTTTCTCTTTATTTTCCCTTTTTTGCTTTTTGCCCCACTTTTATTTATTCTTTTAAATCTTATAGTTTGTAAACTGGAATCATGATAACTGTTCTAGAGCTAGAGAATTTTTGACGAAAAGTTTTTAAAACATTCCTAATTAAGAATGCTTCAAAAGGAACATTATTTCATGAGAAACTTTTTTTGAAACTTTCCTAATTAAGAATGTTTATAAAAATTTTATATTATGATTCCAGTTTGCATACAAAAGCAAAAAATAAATAAATTAATAAATAAAAAGAGAGAAAGTGAAAGAGATTTTGTTGCAGAGGACTTAACAGAGAAACTTAAATTTATTTCTCTGCGACAAAAAATCACTCTCTCCTTTTTTTTTTAGTTTTTTCATAGTTTTTATAGTTTTTTTTTTTTTTTTTTTTTTTTTTTTTTTTTTTTTTTTTTTTTTTTTTTTTTTTTNTTTTTTTTTTTTTAGTTTTTTCATAGTTTTCATATTTTTTTTTTTTTAGTTTTTTTAAAAATACATTTTATATTACTGTTTTTAATTCATTACAAAGGAATCAAAATTAAAGTAAATTATTAGTGAATGAATGAAAAGCATAAAAAGTAGATAAAATCCCACGGAAACTGACTTTAAAAGTCATAACAGTTGTACTTAATTTACTGTCATTTATCTTTATTAATGAATTTTTTAAAAATATTATTTACTTTCTTCTTTCAACCCAATATTAGTTTTCTTCATCATTTTTTCATCTAATTAACCTGATACTTCTCATTATTTTTCATGTATTACTTATTTTCCAACGCTTGAGAAAATTAGCTTATATAAAAAAAATATATATTTAACATTTTGACATGAATTCTCTATGCACGCGATCAATTCTGCATTTACAAAAAGTTAATCTAGATTTCAAATGGTTCTGCTTGATATCTTATTCCTAATATCTTATTAAATACAACTAATTGCATTCCGTGAATCAATTAGATTATTAACTCATTAGCATGGATTGATTTAATTACTTTTATATCGTGGCGAGTTGGCATCAAATAATAAATTAGTTTGTTCTTTTTAATCATTATTATGTTATTTTAAACTCTTGGAGCTAACTTAGGTGCATTGAAATTAACCATGGTTGACGACAAAATTGTGATTAAGAGCTATTGATATTTCAATCAAATGTATCTTAACAATATAGTATATCTTAACAAATATGTTTAAAATTATCAAAATATATCAAATATATCTTATAATTCTGAGGATAGTTTTAGTTTTATGGATGTGAGTCACAAATTGAATATATTTAATCAGATATATAAGATTCATTTCAAAATAATTTATTCTTCTTTTTTATACTAATATTTAAAAATCAACCCACTATTAAGATTTCAAAATCAATTAGTGTCATAAACTGATTGTTTATAACATCAAACAAAAATCTTTTTTCACCGTTAAATAATGAAGCAATCTAGAAAGTTAAATGTATTCTTATGTTATATAAATGTAAATTGACAAAAAAATTTTATTTCTTGAGCTTGATTCTGACAGCTTTATCTGAATTAGTTTAAAATAAAAAGGGTTGTAGACAATACCATTTGAATAAAATGTATTTCATTAGTTTTGACTTAATGACCTTTTTTTTGATAAAAAATTAAAATGAAATGGAAATATTTCTCAAATCTTGACAGGTAGAAAATAACTTATTTTCTTTATTTTGCAAAACTGTGTAAACTGTATACTTTTTTAATGATTCATTGTTCAATTTTACATTGTTCTACTTTACATGTCTTAAGATAATTTTCCATGTAAATGAGAAAGAGTTCAAAATATATGACAAGGTCAGTTCTAAGATTAATCTTATTTCTTACTTTTTCTTTTCGTAACAACTAATAAGGATTCCAGCATTATGCCAGCTTTATCGAAAAAATGTTGCATAATCGAAAAAAATGTTAGACGAAAAAACTGTGTTCTAGTATTGTGTTTTCAGTTTTGAATGTCTTAATTGGTTGTGTGGATAGAATCTTGCCATCTTAATTTCAAGAGTCACAGTGGCTCAGGAAATAGAGCATTTACCTCCCGATGATGTGACCCAGGTTCGAATCCCAGCAATGGCTGGTCAATACGAATCTTGCACCTGGCTCGCACCGACCACAGCACTAACTTAAAATATCCTCTTTGGTAAACGGATCATTGGTTAGAGTTCTCTTACGGTCAGGGTAGCCGTGGGAGGTTTTCGTGGGATTTTTAACTTCATGAAGCGTAAATACGGCTTAGTTACATCAAAGCTCTCCATGAAGGCAAATTTCTTTCAATACTTCATCCAGATGTTCCCTTATCTTCTAGATTAGGTTCAAAACTACGAGCCTACGGAAATGAACATTGGTAGCCGTAAACTCAAAATTGGGTCTATTGTTCAAGGACGGTTATAAAATAAAATAAAATGTTACTTTTTTTTCCGCACCAGATAGAACTCAAAATTCTACTGTAACTCCGTAGATAAGTAAGTTTCAATCATTCATATTAAAATAAGAACCAGAGACCCGCTACATTACCACTAATATCCTAAAAATCGGCCATAATAGCAGCAGAGGTTCCATGCTCTGAGCAGTCTCCATGCTGGATGGCCGTGCATCTTTCCATATCATTGAAAGAAGCATTTTGACTGAGGCATGCGGTCTTCAAATCCTATATTTGTCTCTTTAAGAGTGTATTTAGCCCTAATTTAATTTTAACAGATGATCATTAGTAACTATATTTTATAATTAAGAAATACCCAAATGTATTGTTGCTTGCAATTAAAGCGTCAGAAAAAAAATATATATAAAAGGAACTGCGATGTTTCCTCTGCGTCAAAGATCGTGTAACCGGGTTCGAATCCCAGCAATTATTGGTCGATACGAATACCGCATCCGGATTGCACCGACCACAATTCCATCAAAAAGTCCTCCACGAAGGCAAATTTCTCCTAATACTTGATTCAGAGCCGCGATGGCTCAGGGGATAAAGCGTTCGCTTCCGATGCGGCAAACCGGGTTCAAATCCCAGTCGATACGAATTCCGCATCCGGCTTGCACCGACCACAGTGGTGACGTGAAATATCCTCAGTGGTAGACGGATCATGGATTAGAGTTCCCTTGCCGTCAGGCCAACCGTGGGAGGTTCTCGTCTCCATATAACGCAAATGCATGTTAGCTCCATCAAAAAGTCCTCCACGAAGGCAAATTTCTCCCAATACTCGATCCAGGAGTTCCCTTGTCTTCAGGATTGGATTTAAAATTACGAGGTTATGGAATTGAACATTAGTAATCGTAAACCCATAAAATTGGGTCGGCTGTTCAACGACGGTTATAAAAAAAAAAGATCCAGGATCTCCCTTGTCTTCTGGATTGGGCTCAAAACTACAAGGCTACGGAGTTGAACATTAGTAGTCGTAAACCTAAAATTTGGTCAGGTGTTCAACTACGGATATGAAATAAAATATTGAGCCATTCGCAAAACAATATGAAAACACTAGAAAAAAAAAATTATTTTAAGAAAATTGGGATAGCAAGTTAATCAGAGCTGACAGTAGATCTGAAAACGGTACGATGCATTTTAACTCGTTCGCAATCAAAGTCTCATGCTTGCTGTCAGTAAAGCACACGCAAACTTTCAATTTAATTTTCCTTCTGAATAATGAATGACCAGCCATCGACTTTGAAAGTGAAAGTCCACTTTCTAAGAGATCAGTTCATTTACCTAAGATGTGTCCGAAAGCCAACCATCGAAGTAGAACTGGGGCAACCAATTCAATCGCTCAGACGTCGCTCTGAACACGAGTTTTCATCAAGAGTCGATGGGCGGGAAGCCAACCAACTCGGGTGGCAAAACTGGGGTTTCTCAAAATGGGGGTCAGACAGGGCTACTTCGAATGCCTGTAGGCAAAGGTGTAGGCTTAGATGATTGCGACACCTTTGCCCTCGAAAAGGAGGATGATATATAAACTAGAGGCGATACCGGTAACCCAGTTTTTTATAAGCCTTTGGACACTTGCAGACGAAGCATGATGCTCAAAGCGGTAAGTCACTAGCTTTGAAAGTCTTAATAAATAGTACAAGAATGTAGTGGAAAATCATTTTCAATTTATAGTATTCTCATAAATATTATTAAATTAATATAAACAAATTATATAGCTATAAACATTGCTATTTAAAAAAAAAGTGGAAAAACAACAACATTGTTTATATTTGTCTAAGGAAATATATGAAAACGTATTATTCACACCGAAAAAAAAATATGGTCGAAAATACCATAATAAGATTAAATTTACCATGTTTCTGGCTATGTAGGAACACTAAAAAGCTCGGTAATTTTACCAATGCGCTTTGGTAATGATTTTTGAAAAATTGATAGTAAAATATCGTTTTATGAAATATGACAAATTTTTGTAAATGTTGTAAAATTCGGTGATTTTTATCATGATACTTTAGAACATGGCATAAAAACCATTTATTCAGTTAAATTTACTTTTCAGTTTTGTAATTTTTGCCAAATGTGTGGTAGTAAGAACTATAGTTTTTAAATTCAAAACTTCCGGTAAACCGTTATGATACGAACGGAAAAATTACCAAATGAAGTGTTTAAATACCATATATTTTAGTTTTAATAACTAGAATTATGTTGTTGTTTTTTTTAACAGATATGTCATTACCATACAAAACGGTCATTTTGGCAGAATTCTTTTTTCTCCTTGCACTGTAGATAACTAATTCATTAATACCATTAATCACTTTACACAAAAAGCCAACACAATAATACATAGATACGTTAAAATGAACAAAAAAAGAATAACATAAAAATTTATAAGATAACTTTTTATATATTAGTATTCAAATTAATAACTTTATAACATAGCTCAAGCGAATTACACGAATTTATTCACATTAGATTATTATTTTATCAGTATTATGTATCAATATGCTCGAAAAAAAATTAATATCGATAAAATTTATAAACTTAATCAAAAGAGTATGCAATGTAGACGCATGAATTCAAAAGAAAAAAAAATGACGTGATAAAAAAAATTAAGATAGGAATTATTGTTTGTGTTAAGTTAATATGAGAATGAGGAAGTGTGTATACAAATGAATTATAAACTTCTGAAAAATTAAGGTAAAAAGAGTGCACATAATATTTAAGATAAGCATTATCTTAAGATTAAGATATATCAAGATATTAAGATAATTAATATTTAAGAAAGCGAAAACAAAACTCCTATTGATGTCTAGCATATCATGACAGAGGAAGACGGAATAATAACTAGTAATAATAGTAAGAATAATAAGTTCTGAAGGAAACAGAGAGCAGTTGAAAGGGAGTTATTAGAAATGTCTCTAAATTTCACCAGGTAATCAAACTGGTTTCATACATCTTAATTTAAGAAAGATCCAAAAGTTTCGGTAAGGTTTTTTCGCTCCTAAATATTAATTTGCTACCTCTAATGTGTAAACTTTCTTAGCTTCATTTTTGATATAGAATCACAAAATATATATTTAGAGTTACATATTTATACATATATTATTTATACATATATTATTTATAGATATATTATTTATAGATATATTATTTATAGATATATTATTTATACATATATTATTTACAGATATATTATTTATACATATATTATTATATGTATAAAAACATATATTATAAGTTATTATGGACCACCTTCGCGCACCTTCATCTTTCTTAATTTAAAAACTGCTTTTACTCTTTTGGAATACTGAAATTTTATTCTATTTTGCGTATCAATAAATTTTAAAAAAAGATGTAAATTTCAAAACAAATCCATGGTTTAGGTTGCTGAGCTGATTTGAGAGTCATTGATTTTGGTTCTCGGTTAAAAAACGGTTGGTAACCCTCGGCTTAGTGAATAGCCACTGCTGAATAAATTGATAAATGAAAATGAACAGAATAAGTGTTTTTACACCGAGAAAAAAAATATGGCTAAAACTACCTGAATCTGGTAAAATTTACCGCATTTCTGGTTCTATGGGAACATTAAAAAGCTCGGCAATTTTTAACGATGCACTTTGGGTGATAATTTTGGCAAAATTAACGATAAAATATAGTTTGATGAAATGTGATATAATTTGGCCTTAAAGCATGACACAAAACCATTTACTCGGTGAAATTTACTGATCAGTTTTATTTTTTACTCAATGTGTGATAGTAAGAACTATAATTTTAAAACCTGAATTTCTGGTAAACCGTTACCATGTGAAGGAAAAAAATTGCCAAATAAATATTCGGTTGAGTTTTTATATACCAAACGTGTAGTTATAAGAGCTATAACTTTGAAAACCAGGATTTCCGATGAACCGCTACCATACGAAAAGAAAAATTACCAAAAGAAATTTTTAAATAACTTATATATTTTGGCTTCATTACCAAAATTTTGCTGTTTTTTTTACCAGGAATGTTTTTTTTACCGTGCTGTAATTTCACCAAGACTTTTTACTCCACACAACAATTTGAAATTATTATTGTAGTAAGTTATTTTTAAAAGTGTATTTTTTGCACTCTTACCTGACAAAAAAAAGAAAGTATTTTTTCTATTGATTTCGAAAAAACTAATTAGTTATGATGGTTGGGAAAAATGCTTCCATTCATAATAATTTTATTGTAAATTATTTAGGGATTACTTTATATATAAAAATAACCTTCATCCTTTAAATATAAGTAGTTCATGTGTACAATTTATATCTAAGATATTCTGTACATTTTCCTATTTGTATAGTTTTATGTATGGAGATTTATATCCCATTAACAAGATACTTAAATTCAATATTTTTTTTCGAAAGATTTGTTCTGTAAAAGCAGTGTTTACGTTTGTTTAAGAAAGATTTGCTTTGTAAAAGCAGTGTTTAAATTTTTAAAGAAGGATTTGTTTCGTAAAAGCAGTGTTTACATTTATTTTAAAGAAAGATTTGTTTCATAAAAGCAGTGTTTATATATTTTTAAGAAAGATTCGGTTTGCAAAAGCAGTGTTTACATTTTTTTAATGAAGTTTTATTTCGTAAAGGCAGAGTTTATATTTTGTCAAAGATAACTCCTGTTTTCAGTCGATTCATTGGATTTCAAGAATTTTGATAGTTTAAAAGCTAAGTTTTATATTTTAATTAGTGTAATTCAATTAATAAAGTTCTGGAAGGCAGCATGATTTATTTTCGATATCTTTAAAAACTAAAAACTGATGGAAACAAGAAAATTTACAAAACGTTTTTAATTAAAAATTAAAAAATAATATTTTACGAAATTTAACAGTGCAATTATAAAAGAGATTTTATTTAATGATAGATAATGATTACTTTGTATTACAGATTGAAATATTGTAAAATTTACTATGCTTCAAATTTTTTTTGCATGTGTTGCAGATAATAAATAAGAAAAATAATGAATATACTTATGAAGCCATTTCTCCTCTTTTGAGAAAATCATTATTAACATCACAGATTTTTTAATTGCAATTATAAGCGTGTAACTATTTTTTAACAGACTTTTGCTTTTAGTATAAAGGAAAAAATATTTTTTTAATATGTTAATTGAAAATACCAGTGTGAAAATATTTTCCTGTTAACGAATTCATCGTTGTATATTGTATCACTGAAAAAATTATTTTGCATTCTTTTTTAATTTTTTGTTAATTTAGAAATAATTTGAATACTAGCGTCGTGACAACAATACTGTGAGCGTATTCGATTATCCACCAGTGTGGCTTTTTTTCCCTCGAAACGCATACTTAAAATATATTATAAATAATAGAGATTCCATCTTAATTATTTATTTATTATTGATCAATTTATTGTTATTTATTTATACATTTTAAAATTTGTAATTAGGAAAATCTTTTTTTTTTTTTTGTTTATTTATAAAGTATTCGGGATATAAAAAATGTCTTATCGCATTAAATTTAAATAATAAAAAAGTTTTTTTCTCGTAAAAATTCATCTAACAAGTCTTGTAGTGCACTAAGCAAAAACAAGTGTGATCAAAACTAGTAGAATATGATAAAATTTAGCTTGCTTCTGGCTGTAATGATTTTAGTAAAATTAATATTAAAATATAATTTTATAATGTGTGATAAAATTTAGTAATTTTATCATGATACCTTAGAACAGCGGTTCCCAAATAGTGATGATTTACTTAGATCCAACGAATAATTCTTAATTTATTTAAACTTTCACAATTTTTTGACTTAAATTATTGCAAGTAAAATGCACATGAATAGAAATAGCATTTTTGAAAAAGAAAATATATTTCTTATGACAAATTGAACAAATTATGAAAAGAACATGCATTACTAAAATATTGCATTGATATTTCGTTGCGAGTTTTTCATATAAAAATAAAATAACCAAACCTTAACTAAGAAATATATTTCCCTTATAACCATTTTCAGCGTTTACAGCAGTTCTTTTTAGGTTTCAGTTCGAAGTAAAGCATAAGTCGGCTTATTTTATTCATTTTCAGCATCAGGCTTATTGGCTTTTTTATTCAGTTTTCATGTATATACGGACAAAAAACAAATTCACAGCTAGGTTAGATGTAGCACAAAAATTACAAAATTAGTTGTCGGACATAAAACCCAATATAAAATTATTTATGATAAAATGATAAAAATCTTCATTCCTCTATTTAAATATTTTAAAAATAAAGTAGTCTTTTATAGGTTGTTTACAATTGCCTTAATATAGTTTACTTAGAAAATTGGGGTTCAACCGAAAGAAGATTGATTATTTAGGATTCCATAGCCCGCAAAAAAGAAATAAATTATGATAATAATTGGGAACCTCTGCCTTAGAGCATGGCATAAAAATGGTTTATTCAATTAAATTTGCTTACTTTTCAGGTTTTTTTTTATTTTTTATTATTATTAAATGGGTAATTATAAGAAGTATAATTTTTAAAACTGAACACTGAACTTACCAAATTAAATTTAAAAAAAATTACCAAATTAATGGTTTAATTACCATATAGTTCAGTTTTTCGTTGCAAAAATTATGTTTGTTTGCTTTTTTTTTTTTGCCAAAAATGTTTTATGTTATGTAGAACGGAAATTTTACTAGAATTTTTCATTGCAATAAATTTGTATTAATTAAGCGGAAATTTAAAGAAAAAAATTATTTTATTTTCATTTGGATACTTGGTCTATTTACTTGGTTGTTTTCTTTGTATTTTTTCATTTGGGTTGGTAAAAGTAAACAAAACATGGATGAAGGTTTTTAACATTCAGATTATCTAAACGTTTCTAATTGTCATTCATGATCTATTTTCGGAGTTCTTTCGTCGATTTCTTTTTTAATTTATACTACAATTATCTATTTAACATATTAATATCAAATAAATAGAATTAGGCAGTTAAGTTTATCAGTTGAGTTGATTAGAAATTTCGCCAAAAGTTTTCGTCCAGATTCAATGCTTTCTTCTATATTTTGTAAATATTTGTACAGTTAGAAAAATATAAACAAATTATAACGTCTAATATAAACGTATTAACGTCTTGAGAAAACTTCGATATTATATAAAGTTCGATATATATAAACGTCTGAAATAACCTTTGGGTTGAATATCCAAACGTTTTGCAGCATATTATATTTGTTTACGCAAGAATTCACACAAATAATAACATTTTGATTAATTCTATTATTTAATATTACAAACGATGCAAACATTTTGAATTTTCAAACATAAAATTTCTGACATGACGTTAAATGACGTAATATTTCGACTGAAATTCGAAACTTGAAATTGATTGGTTGAGTAGTTTCTGAAAAATAATATTTAACATACACAATTGATCAAACTTGATCTCGTGTTTTAGGTACTGTTATTATTAGATTTAAAATTCTGCTACACTCATAAACTGCCTGCGTAAAAAGATTTATTATGGACTAGCCGCTTTTGGCGACCAGCTTAATCATTTTTCAAAATTACCTTATACAATAAAAAAGTTTAAATGGTAACCAAGCTCAATGCACAGCACAACGATAATGTTGCCAATAGATATACCCGAGATTATGGAGCCACATAAGAGAAATAATATATATACTATATAAATATATATAAAAAAAACTATAACAAGTGATAAAACAATGAAATACGGTGAGAAAAAACTGTCTCAAATTTATTTTTAGTTCTAAATTGTTACATAACGATAGGAAGTAAACAATAACAGCAATTGTGACCATTAACACGATGTTGAAGAAAAATCGAACAATGCTTTAACCATAATAAAACTAAATACAGCAAAGACTCGGCCACTTTAAAAAAAATTCTGTATATTGAAAGTTCATTCATTTACTGAAAATAATTGTCAGCTGTGATAATCATCGAATACGTGCTGAGAAATAATTAAATCATAATTTATGCTGGGTGTGAATGAACTATTGCACTTTATATAGCATTAATAGTTATTTTTAAATTTCAATTACTTTATACAAACACTTTTACACTTGAAATGAAAAAGAATTAATAATTAAACGAAAATCTACTTTTATGGATTAGTTCCGTGACTAATTCAAATCGTGATAATTTTAAGTATATAATTGTTTTGATTTTGGCTGCCTCTATGGAAAGGAGTTGTTAGGGAGCTTTTGACCGATTTCAAATCTTCAACTATATTTACATTTGAAAATAAAAAGAGAAATTTTATTTAATCGAAAGTAAAATGTCCTTTTATGTATAAATTTTATGATTAATTTTAAAAAGGGGAATAGTTGCTTCGGTATAGTATGGCATCCTTAGAAGAGATTTTTTTTATAGAATTTTTTTTACTTTTTATTATTTAAAAAAAATTAAATATTGAGATTCTATCTTATTAATTATTATTAAATGATGGTAAGCAGAATTGAATCAACTGAAATGGAAGATAAAAAAATTAGAATTCTTAAAATTCATAGTTTAATCGTTTTCCCTATTCATAATTATCAAAATATTGCATTAGAAATTAAATGAATATTTTCATCGTAATAACTTCATATAAATAAAAATTAAATCGTTTATTGTCCGGAATGTTTTAAAGGATTATCTTTCATATTTGTACAATTTAGAATCTGAAATACTGCTTTATAGTGCTCATTCGTTTTCAGATAAAAAGTACAAAACTAAAGAAAGAAAAAAAAGGGAAATTTCAAGGTCTTAAAAGTTTTTAATTATCACTAAAATTTTTATTATAGAACTTTGAATCTGGACTATGTGGTTATGGTCCACGTTAAATATTTCCATAATAAATAGCACAGTACCAACAAAAAGAAGTTTTGAATCGATTCACTTCGTGGTTATCGATTCACTTCGTGATAGTTTTCTGAATCTCCGAATAAAAAAGATATCTGCATGACTTAATTTTGTATGATCTAACAAATTTGTATCATAGAATTTTGAATCTGAAATACATTTTTGTGGTTCTCCTTAAACGTTTCCACGAGAAAAGGTACGAATGCAACAAAAAGAAATTTTGAATTGATCCACTAAACTTGTTTTAAATTGATCCACTGTTTTCCTAATTTCCGAATAAAAAAAATATTAACATTCGGAAAAGCAATTTTCGCAACCAGACGAAGTTAAATTTAAGCAGGTGACTAAGACTTTTCATTTTATCTCCTGGTCCAAACTGTGCACGCAGTATATTACCAGCAAATTATGAAATCCAACAGTGGACTGATAGTAAAGACACGGTTTCCAGTAGAACGCCGAAGTCAAGCATCATTGACAGCAGTAAGTGAGCGTGTGCTTGGCCATTTTGATCAGCCTGTGAAGAGACCGAGGATGTGCGATATCGTCTCTCGTTAAACTGTTCTACCGTAAAGAGTTCGCCTTCGCGTGCAAGTCATCAAGCTACCAATCAGGGGCCTGCAGAGAATCAAAATTGAGATGACTTGTCTTCGGATCCCCTTCAGGGATGTTACTCAGACCGTCACCAATTGTCTATTTCGCTGCTCTAGTGCGGTGGGAATAAAGTACTACTACTTCTACTCTTTTTTTTTACTTCTAATGCCCACTTGATTGACACTCGTAATTCAGGTATCCAGTAAAGCAGATTTGTTGGCCACTCTTTCAGGTGAACCATATTAGGTGGATCAATATTGCTTCACAGTAAGAGGAGATATAGTAGATGGATAAAAAGAACATCCATACTTTGTATGATATTTGAACCCAGAACCTTTCAGCGATGATGTCAGCTCCCTGGCCGCTATACAGTTCGATAGGCGTTACTAGTTCTACTATAAAACTCAGAAATTCTGTAAAATATTTATACAATAGATATACGAATTGAATAAACAAGCTTTATAATTCTATGCAAAAATATTTCGTTTTGCTTAAAAAGTTCTCGAGATATAGTGAAGTACGCAGAATGTAAAATTGTCATTAAGGAAACCAAACTTCAGACTGCTATCCTAACCAAACTATTGGAACCATCTTTTCCAGATTGACGGTCAAATCTAACAACAAAAAAAACTATATGTTTATTCAGAGAAAGTACGTTTTAGTGTCTGATTTTGTAACTTAAACATGGTTTGCACTAGTTAATAAGCATATTTAAGGGTTGGCCCTTGTATTAATAAGATTCATTTCTAATATATCAAAATCTGTTCATTGAATCAAAAACATTTGAGGTGTTCTTTTTCTTGCTCGCCGTACATTGGCACAATGTAACATAAACTGTACAATGCAATACAGTTTGATTTCAATGTAAATTTAGAAAAATATATAATAATTTATATAAATTTATGTAGCCTCCATTAAACAAACCAATGCTCTCTTAAGAAATTAAAAATTATTACTAATCGATATTTAGCTTTATAAACTATTGCCATTTTTTTCCCAGTAAACTTAAAAACTTATTAATGCACCCTAATCTTAAAATTGAAAAAATTTCAAATGCTTCTTACTTATCAAGAAAATGTTGTATTACTTACCTCATATGTATTATAACAAGATATTATTTTTCATTCTTTTCCAGTGCATCCTACTTGTTGTTGCAGCTCTAGCTGTAGCCGCACCAGCCAAATCCAAATCTGACGATTTGGAAGCATCTGAAGGACGTCACGTTCCTACTTACAGCGCTTCTTATGGATCACCCATTGCTTACGCTGCACCAGCGCCCAAATATGGCGGCGCTCAAGTAACATCATACAGCAGACGAGGTTCTTATGCTCACGGAAGTGACTTTGCCAAACCCAGCATCTATGGATCTAGCTACAAAGCTGAACCATCAATAAGAGCACCAGCTTACAGCGCTGAACCATCCTATCATGGATCTTTACACGGATATGCCAGTGCACCATCTGTCTACCCAGCTGCTCCCTCAGTTGCCTATGGTGCCTATGGACCTCAAACCAACGCCTATTCTGCCCACTCTCAGATTCAATCCCAGGATCCAAGCTATGATGCAGCTAAGGATCCAGTAAGCCAGTATGCTGCTTACATTCCAGCTAAGGAATATGCTAAAGGTCAATCTATTGGAAACGAATTGAGCATCTATGGATACTAAAAATAGAACATCTGAAACTGTTTTTAACAATAAAAATTCTAAAATTATTATTTAAACCTACCAATGAGTTAAACACGCATTTCAGTTACATCTCTTGTTATCTATTGGTCAAGCAAATCTATTGGAAATCTATAACCCTCTACCTATCTAAATACATTAAAAATCTATTGTAAATAAAGGTCTATCCATCGGATTGACCTAAGAAAATGAAATATCTAAAACTGTTTTTTACAATGAAAATTTGAAAATTATTATTAAAATCTACCAATGAGTTAAACGTACATTTCAGTTATATATCCTGTAATCTAAGCGCCAAACTATCTATTGGAACTATATTGCCAATCAAACGAAATCTATTAAGAATCTAATGGAAACACAGGTCCATTTATTGGATTGACCTAAAGGTTAATCCATTGGAAACCTATTGAGCATCTAAGTATACTTAAAATAAAATATCGGAAAATATTTTTTACAGTGAAAATTCGAAAATTATATTTTGTTTAAATTAAAACCTAGTAATGAGTTAAACTATTTATAATTATCTCTTACTTCGAGAACATAATTAATTTTAATTTTGTCATGTTTTCAACAATTATTTGTTCAATTTTCCAATACAATTTTAAAGCTTTTTCTTAACACTGCTGTTTTAGTGGAAAAAATATTTTGAACAATATTTTCAATAAACATTTACGTAGTAAAAATAAAAATTTAAGAAAAATATCTTTAATAAATGATACGAATCTTTTATAAAATAATTTGGATCTCAAAATTGATTAAAATTATATAACTGATTTCAAATAACATTTTCTGAGAACTATATTGCAAAACACAAAACATATTGTTCATAAATAATTTATTCTGTACATATTATACTTGTGTTCAAATGTTTATTGTAGAAAAAACTCTGTATTTTTTTTAATTTTATTTTGTAGACAAATGCAATAAATTATTGGTGTGTTTTTGTTGCAAATGATGCAAATTATTCTCAAGATTTTGGCAAGTATTTCCTGGCATTCTAGTAAAATACATCAAATCATACTACAAAACAATCGTGAGTTCTGGGAATACATAACCAATTTTTCTCAAACGGAACAATGGGAATATTAGGGCATGAAACCTTTTTCCATATCATAAATTTCAGAAGAATTGGATAGGTCGCTGTTCTTTTACATCCGGTTTGTTTGTTTTATTGGAGTTACAAAACAGTTTCATATAAGTATTTATGAAGAATTCCGTATATTTTCTGTTATTGTTATCTTTATCTATCTTATTATTGTCAGAAAATATTCATATTATAACTAGACCAGAAGAATATGTTGTATGAGAAGTTCAAAGGGGAAACATGTGAATATCGATCCGTTCTACGCAAAAATACTTATCTCTAATTTTAAACAGAATAAAATATTCTCATTAGCATTATACAACATTCATATAACGTTTTTAGAGCATTATATAGCATTAATATAACATTTAACACGAGTTAACATTTTTATATTATATTATTTGTCATTTGTTTAAGTAATAATTCTTGCATAAATTATAAACTGCTTTTTTATTAATGATTTTTTATAAATGATTTTTCAAAAATATAAAAACTGAATCCAAACGCACGTTCTACTTAAAAAATGGCTTTATAAAAGTATTTATGAAGGAATTCCGGTTATTTTAATTTTTATTGTTCGTAAATATATATAAGATAACTGTTGTTGTTGTCGTCGTAGGCTACTAAGGCAAGGAGTGCGATTGTTCTTTATTTTCTAGTGGCGTCATCTATGACGAAGAATTTGGCTTCTGCCTCACTCATACACCTTTGTGCAAATTAATTGAAACAAACTCAATAAATTCAGAAAACTAAGAGAAAATGCTATTTTATTTAAATTTATACAAACTCAAAAATTTTTAGTACATAATATGATCTCCACAGCACTTTATTAACATTTGGACACGATTCGGCATGGATTCCACTAATTTTTTACAGTCATTTATAATATTTGTGTCCTTGTACCACACATGAATTAACGCCGTGATTAGCTTCTCCATAGTTGTACAGTCCATATTTAATAGGCCATTCTTGCATATGGTCCAGAGATTCTCAATTGGGTTGATATCCGGAGAGTTCCCTGGCCATTCCAGTGTCTCAATTTGATTCTCAGACATGAATTTCTTGACAATTTTGGACGTATGGCAAGGAGCTAAATCCTGTTGAAAAATCCCTGTTCCATCAGGGTATCGTTTCTTCAACTCTGGAACAACTTTTTTACCCAGAATAGTAATGTACTGCTCAGAACGCATCCTACCGTCAATAGACTGCAAAAGTCCAACCCCATTGTAACCGAAACAACCCCAAAACATCTTCTTTAAAAAACACGGAAAAAAAAGTTTGTTTCAATTAATTTGCACAAGGGTGTACATCACACCCGTTTATAGGGCGCACCCACCCATTCATACATCAATTCATTCATCCACAGATCGTAATTTTGACCAGAACCAATCAATCTCCAATTCAGTACCCCCAGAGGTATAATTTGTTATGGGAACATGGAGGACTTTGTGACCCGATTTAACGTGCACCAGTCAGTCAGTATAAGATTATTAAACGAGAGCAATAAATTATCTGAGAAGTTAAGAACAAAGGTGAAACATGTGAAGTTTGATTAATTTTACGTAAAAATACTTTCTATTATTATTAAGCATACAGTTTAACCCCAATTAACCACGTAATAAGGTGGGTGGCAAGGGCAACGCAGATAATTCGAAAACACACAAGAAAGTAAGGTGGAATCACGAAATATAATTTTAAACATTATTCATACTTGTGTATATATTTTAAACATAAGACATGCAACAAAAATTTTTGTTTTTCGCCTAAGACACCGTGACAAGGAATAAAGAAAATATATACCTAAAATATATAAACTTGTTCATGCATAAAAGTGCAATTCACGTTAGCATTATTTGATAGCTTATACTATTTGCTATCTGTTAATATTATTATTTTTTACCTTAATTACAAATCATTTGTTAATTGATGATTTTTCAAGAAGGTAAAAAGTGAATCAAAACTCTCTACTTTAACATAATTTGACCCACTATAATGGATGTTTAACCAATGTGAATTCTAAAAGTTATCAAATAGGTATAGAGCAATCCTCTATACCATACAGGTATAGAGGATTGCTGGACTGGCCCCTTGGACTGGCAGCAATTTTGCTAAAATTTGTCTTGTGTTTATAATTATTTGATGATTGTTTGTTTATTTAAAAACAAAATTGAAATTTTGTTTGATAAATTAACATCAGTTAGATAATTAATTAAATAAATAATCCTTATTTAATTATTTATATAAAATTTATTTAATTATTATTATATTAATTATTTATATATTATTTATATATTATTTATTTAATTATTTATACAAAATTAATTAAATATGTAATCCCAAAAAAACTAAAGCAGCTGTAAGATATTACTTGATTAAAAACTTCATTCGCGTCAAAAATATACAAATTGGAAAGAACAGTTCACAGGTTTCAAGCGCTCAAAAACAGGCGCATGTTTTCATGACTTACCAGACGTGAATGAAGAACAACAAAAGTGATATGGAATATGAAACGTAAAGTTGCCAACAAAAAATTGAAAAATGTAGGTGAGAAACAAAAACTAGAAAAACCACTAAAGCCGGGAGAGAAAAAGAATGAAAAACAGAACAAGAAATGCTGTTTTTCTTGTTCTGTTTTTCATATTTTATGAGCAGGCATAGCTTCCCCTAATTATTAAAATGTCCATAGTAAAAGAAAATAAAACAGATTAAATTTCAATAAAAATATTGGTTTGATTTCTTATGAACCGTGGTGATCTGGTGTCAGGCTCTAGTAGACCTTTGGTCAGATAGACTAGCCAACTTAAATTGTGCTATGTTTTAAACAGAGTAACAAAAATTTGCAGAAAAGAACCATAATGGAGTGTTTTTTGTGCGTGAAAAAAATATATGACAGAATCGAAATTCATCATAAAATTGCTGCATGTGAAAAATTTACCAGTATAATAACGCTTTATACTTGATGGAGTAGGTTTTTTGATAATTTTAAAATAAAACATGATGAAATAAAGCACATAAAAAAACTTGATTTGCTTACTATGCTAGACCTACGAAGTTAACAGCTTTGATTTAAGTTTATCATACGCTATATTCTAATCAATAACAGCAGGTTTTTCCCATAAGATATTAAAAAATAATATTGATAAGGCGACATTTAAGAAAGCTCTATTTAGCTAATAATTCACACTTTTCATGCTTGCAAGCATGAATGTCACACTGTCACTTGTTGGCCTACTGGCCGTGGCTTTAGCGGAAGAAATACAGCTAAGTCCAGAGCAAGCAGAAGGTTTTAATTTTACTTTTTTTTTTTTTTTGTTAATAGCAGTCAAGATAATTTAAATTTTAAGTTATTATTACTAGTTTACTTATGTATATTTTACTCCAATTTCTGTTCTTTACTTACTTATACACAAAAACCGCAACGTCTGATGTTTGTTAAAAAAAATTTGCTTCTTATTGATAATAAGACTTGTGAAGCAATTTTATCTCAAATATTTACAATGTTGTGAAAACGGATGCTTTTGTAAAGAACTTCATTTTTTAATAATATTAATTAAAATTTAGGAGAGAATAGTTTAGCAACTTTGCTTTGTTTTTCAATTTTCGATTTAGCTTTCTTACAAATTTGATTTTTATAGTGTTTTAAACTAAAACTGATACAAAATTTATGTAAAAGAAAGAAAAAAAATCTCCTTTTTCGTTAAATATACTAGTAAAAACCACTCTTATGTGAATGTTTAGAATCCTTATAAAAATGAGAACAAAAAAAATTTATATGATGGGGCACAAATTAGTTTAAGTGAAGAAAAAACAAAAATGTTTGAGAAATCTGGCAAATTACAGTGGAACAAAGCGTAAGTAATAAATGTCAAAGCAGATTTAATTGGAGGTTAAAACTTGAAGGTGTTACGAATAACTGGCTTAATTTCCTCTCTCAATCAAATCTATCATGTTGTATATTACATTTCTTGTACTGTAGTTTGATAAATTTCGAGAGCGGTTTCGATTTTTCCTCGCTAAAAAATTTATTTGCGGCCCCATGTATGCATTTTTGTTTGCATTGTTTGGATTATAAAAGTACATTTTAAGGGTGGTCTATACGAGTCACATTATATGTATTATTTGTGCGGAATCGTGTTTTAAACATTTTTATGTTATAATTTTTTTATTCTAACATGCCATTAATTCTCTTACGTAAGAAGCATTTGCGAAATTTCCCAACAAATCGATTATTTAATTTGCAGCGCTCAAGTTATTAACGAACTTTTATTTTTTCAGATTACACAAATGTTATACGATTTGTATAACAATTATAATAAAATCAAAGCGATAAAATTGTTTTTAATTCTAAAATCTGTTGTAAACGTACAAAATTAGCATAATTTAATTAAAAAGTTTAATAAAACTTAAAGTATATTTCAACGTAGCGTTAGAAGGAAATTTACGCAAGCTTTACAAATCTTATATTTTTAGAAGCTAGATTGGCTCTTCAAAATCCTGACTTGTACGATGGAGACATGGCTGGTATTGAGTTTGTAAGCATTATTTTCATTATTTTTTTATTGTTTATTATTAAATGTTATTTTAAATTATAAATCAATTTAAACAAGAGGTTTTCAACGCGTATTACACGCACTATAACATATACTATTGTCACATTAAACATGTATCTCATTAAACTTAAAACAGTTCGATAAAAAGAACTATTTCAGATGATAACGAATAGTGCAAAATTTTGTGGCATTTTTCTTATGAAAAAAAAATTAGCGAATTAGTTGTAGTAATTTTTTACTACTTAAATAATAAAGCAATGAACAGACTAATTCGTCAAAAGAAGAAAAAGAAAAAAAAGATCAACATTTGGAGGATACTTTGCAAATGATATTGATATTAAGAAAACTGAAATAGTGAAGCAAAAATAATATCAAACTTTACATTAACCATTAGCCAAATCATAAACCAACCATTAACCAAATTGGGCAAATCATTGCCAATGTTCCAGATCAATCTTTACAGCCAATTTTTGAACTCGAAACTGAAATAACTATCTCTTAGGACTTCTTTAACGAACTCTAGTGAAAAACACTCTCAACTGATGCGTTTTGTGTTGAACTGGACAGTTTATGCCTTCATCAGCTTTAGATTGAAATGAATGCATTCTTCTTTGTTACAAGTAGACTTCATTAAAGTTCAAATTTGTTTTTAAAATGAAGTTCTGATTATTATGAATAGGACGATGCAAAAAATTATGTTTTGTTATGTGTAAGCTTCTGTTAAGTTCAGGTTTGTATTTAAAATAAAATTATTATTATTATGCCACTGTACGAAATTCTTCGTTGCATTATCTTTTGTTAAGTTAAGGTTTATTTTAAGAATAAAATTTTGTTCATTATTATTAGGATGCTGTACGAAATTCTTTGTCTCATAATATTTTTTTAAGTTTAGGTTTATGTTGAAAATAAAATTTTGCTCATTATTATTAAGACGCTATACGAAATTCTTTGTTACATTATCTTTTGTTAAGTTTAGGTTTATTTTAAAAATAAAATTTTGTTCATTATTATTAGGACGCTGTACGAAATGCTAGAGTCGGAGACCATTACAGGTGGCCAAATGCACGTGTGCCTTACGTCATTGACGCTTCTTTGAGTAGGGTTTTTTTTTTCAAACTTTTTGTTTTTATAAAAAGTGTGTACTTCCTTATTTCTTATTTCTTATTATATTATTTATTATTACATTATTTATTATTACATTATTTATTATTATATTATTTATTATTACATTATTTATTATTATATTATTTATTATTATAAATTTGTGTATTTCCTTATTATTAAACTATTAAATACACTTAGAAATAGTGTCTTGTCAATAAGAAGGAATTCCTGCCCGACCATCTAAAGCAACTGGCTCTCGAAATTATTCACTCTATTCCAAGACAAGATGCAAAAATTTTCACTGACGACAGCGAAATCGATAGTCATGCTGGTAGCGGAGTCTACATCGAGACTCCTGATGAAAAATTTTCTCTCTGCCAGCTTAACCCAGACTTCTGCTCCGTTTTCAGAAGCGAAGTTCTGACTATCAACAGGGGTCTGGAATTTGTTATGCAAAATGACCTTTATTTTAAAGACCTTTGGATATTCTCTGATAGCCACAGCTCCCTGCAACATCTCAACAACCGGACCCAAATTGGCGACAAAACCAGTATTTCCATCGTAAACAACCTAAAACTCTTGTCCCTCCAACATAATATTCACCTGCAGTGGGTTCCTTCTCACGTCGGTCTCTATGGTAATGATTTAGCGGAGAGCCTAGCTAAAGAGGGTTGCAGCCAACCGCACCCAACCTCTTCTGATCTTACCTATCTTGAACTTTACTCCCTGAAGAAATCCCAGCTTCTCAGAGACTGGTTGATTCCCCCCACCCCTCCATTGGTACAAGGGAAATAAGCCTGGAGCTTCTTTGACCCTTCCCTTTGAAAGGAGAGTCTGCACCACCATCTCCAGCCTAGCTACCGGCCATCTTAAAGGTTTTCTATTTTCCGAAGGAACTAAAATCCATCCCATCTGCCCTAAATGCCATCTACACCTGGCTTCCGCCGATCACATCCTGAACTGTCTTGGTCTTCTCTGGGAAAACATTTACTCTACACCTATTTTGGTATTTGATTTTCTTCAGGTCAACGGGTTCATAGATCTGGTCTGACTTCGTCAGCCCAGAAGAGGATAAGCAACAATAGCAACAGAAATAGTGTTTTAGAACTTTTTGAAACTTTTCGTGTCATCAAAAGAAGGTCCACATTATTTGCACTTGAAAAAAAAGCATTCAAAACTTCTTATTTATTAATTTATTTTCATCTGCTTTTTGTCGCATCGTTCGATCAACTAAGTGATTCATAAGTTCCTGTAGAATATATAGCTGATTTTTAATTTTATAAAAAAATTCACCTCTAAAGTAATTTTTTTTTGTTGCTTTTTTTAAAAAAATAAAAATGGCGACAATTTTTTTAAATAGTTATAACTACACTTTTAATTTTACTTCTGCGAAAATTTCTAATCTATTACAGATGTATTTGTTACAGTACGTTATATTTTCTAATGAAGGTAAAGCACATGACGTAATTAAGAAAGGCATGGATGATTACCACAAGAACACGTGTGTCCGATTCGTTCCCAAAACCGATGATGATGCACATTACCTCAAGATATTTGCTGGACAAGGGTGAGTATATACTCTTTTAATAGTTAAGAGAATTTTTTTAAATTACATCATAAATTGGCGGGAATGTGGATGTTTGACATTTTGTTTGTGTTTAAGTACTTAAAAATACCTAGTACTTCAAGTGAACGCATCATGAAAATAGCCAGTACAACTTGTATTAATAAACATCTAAAGTATCGTACCATACCTATACTCTTCACGCCAGCTGGTACACAAGGCTTCTTTTTGAAGTGTAAGTTAACTTTCACTCAAAAAAAAATTAAAAACTACTTTTAAATCTTACTTAAGCCACTAGATGGTGACACCGTTTTAAAACAATCTTTATTCATCTGGAATAGAATACAGTAATTTTATATCAATACCACTGACAAGGCTGAACTAGATCCTTAATTTGACTGTTAGCCTTGAAGTTCAACCTTGCCAGTGAGAAGCAAGTAATATCAAGGTGTCTACTTATATAATTTTGTTTCAATTTGCATAATTTTAATAATGCTAGCTAGAACGAAACGATTGCATTGGAACTGGCAGTACGAAACAATATCTCTTGAGCACCATATCTCTTGTCGCCATATCTCCGAATCACGGACTTTTTTTGCACAGAAATTTAAAACTCATTTCATGTTAAAAACAGTTTTTACTCTCGCTTGTAATTTTTTATTATAAAATATACTAACAGTGGAAAAAAATTGTTATTTGTCACATATACAAATATTTAAACCATTTTAATTAAATGAAAAAAATCCAAAATTTGAAGGGAATCAATCGGTTGACTAAGTTCTCCAGAAATAAAAATCTATAAATATGACTTTTTTTAGATGCCGAAGTATGTTGAAAAGTTAAATTAGCATCAAAGGGGACAAATCATCGATCGTTCTCCTAATCAAACTATTATGATCACATTTTTCACATTGTGGCTACTCCAAATATAATGACTGTCAAAAATTCGAGTTTGTCGAAAAAGGTATGTTTACTCAAAAAAAGAGCATTTTTTAGTAGTTTTGTATTTTTTGCTCTAATTAATTGGCACAATTGAGCTTAAGCCTTTGAGTCATTAATATTGCATCTTAGTACGTGACAAGCCACTTACTTGATCAGAAATTATTAAGGTGTTTCTGTTTTTGTTGTGGAAACTGTACTTTAATGTATAACATTAGAAATTTTTAAATTCATATTATATCCACTAAAAGTGCATATATTTTAACAAATATTTCCTTTGCGTAACGTACCGTCATTTTTGTAATGATTTTGAGAAGAGATGTACCAGGTTCTTACAGTTTCCCAGCTCCGGGTACCAGGTGACAATTATTCGATGACATCATTACCCGATGTCTTGGATTACTGAAACTGCAATGATCATTTATGGATATAGTTGGTTACTGCAAATGTAAATGATTGTTTCGTAGCATTGTATACCCGTTAAAATTTGCCGGGCATCAGGTCTTGAAACTAAAATCCAGGTAGTAAATTTTCTTTGCCAGGACCAGGTAATGAAAAGTTGGCTGGGTACTGGGTAATTGCCAGGTACCCGGTACAATCCAAATTTTGATCAATCGGCCCACGACCTCAAAACGCTGTTGTCAGAGATCGTTGGTGTTGTTACTTATACCACTTGCCAATATCAACAAGCTTGTTTGAAATCAAGCAAATTTTAAGGGCAGAGGATGCGTTTCTTGTTTTGTTTTTTTTTCAGTGGTGCCGTCTATGACCAAGAATACGACTTCAGTCACACAGGGAGACCACACAGACTGTTTTACAGGGAGGACACAATCCTACTCCATTCATCAACAGATTGTAGTTTTGGCCTGAACCAGAGAATGATCCATCCCCAATTCAGTACCTCCATTGATTTGATATGATAACTTAAAGGACTTTGCGGCTCCGACAGATTTAACATGCACCAGTCACCATTTAATACACGGGGATTCTTCGTCCCTCGGGATTTGAAGAAAAACAGAATGAACTAAGAAACTTATTTAAATTGTTCACTCCATTACGTTAGCACTGTTGGTGTTTAAATTTGCTGGCAAAAGAGAAGCTATTTATAAAGTTACTCGTCGACTCTCTGTTGAAAAATGCACTTAGAACCTTCTAATTTTACTTCGGAAACTCTAAAATTATAGTCTCTGAGTGTGAATTCACTTACTGAAGACTGTGAAATATAAAGATCTGAAAATGTAAATTACTATGGTGCAGTTAAATTAGTATACCAAAATGTGATCTTTATTCTGAGAAATTTTTTTTAAATTGTCAATTAGAATGTTTTCCCATCAATAATAATGAAAATAAATCTAAGTTTAAGAAAGGTGTACTAGTAAAAAAAATAAATTAAATGTTCTTAACATATGTATTGTATCTACAGGTGCTATTCCTATGTGGGAAAAATCAGGGGCCAACAGCCAGTATCTTTAGGTCGTGGATGCCTGTTTCCAGGAACAGTCGTTCACGAGTTGGGACATGCCCTCGGATTCTTCCACGAGCAAAGTAGATCAGACAGAGATGAGCATCTGATCATCTACCTTGAAAATGTTCAGAAAAGTGAGCATTTAGATATCAATAGCTTACTAGTGGCATTAAAGCTTTGTCTTCAATATGCACTTATTTAAATAACTGACGTTTCCCTGTCTAATAATCTTATGTTGAATCATCTTCTTCTTATCTATCTCGAATGATAACTCTCACATCGAATTACCTTCGTATATCTCTTGTACCCAATGTTTTAAATCCTGATAATATTTTATGTAAGCAACAGACCAACGTCGACATCGAAGTTTTTGCTATTGTACTGTAACGATGCAGTTTGAAACCGAACAGATAGATTCTACTTTCCTATTTCAATACTCATTTTATTGTTTATAGCATGTCTGATTTTAGGCGAGGGGCGCATATCATCGATTAAAAGAAATCAGAATCAATACTATAATTGTTTGCTATCGCCCTGCATTGTAAGAATAAATGTGTAATTGGATTTAAATTTATGCGTGTTTTAAAAATATAAGTCATTTAATGCCCAAATATATTTTTGTAATAAAGTTGAACAGGCCACAGCCTGTTGACCACACTGAACAGGCTGAAAGCCATACAGAAAGATACTCTCTAGACAAGACAGACAAACTGAAACTCAAGCAATGAGAAATAAATCACAAACATTGCTATAAAGGTTGATATGATTGTGATAAAAACAAAGTGAAAGTGTTAATTTCGAGAATATTATTCTATTCATTTATAGATATACTATTGAGAAAAATTATGCTGATTTGCTGTAAGGTACAATCGAGACTTATTGAAAATCGGAAAGAAATGAGTAGTATGCTACATACATTGTTATTGCGGTTTTAAAATGTTTAAAATTAAGCTGTCTCTAATATGTGCATTACTTTAGCTGGTTTATTTATTTGGGCGTGAATTTTTCTACGATGAGACCACCTAATCAAATAAAATGATAGCTCCGTAGTTTTTAAATATTTCAATACTGATAAGTTTTTAAACGCTTATCGACGAAAATTTAAAAACACATTTTTTAATAAAGTTATTCATAACAATTTATATTTTGATTCAAAAAGGATTTATCTCATTTATGTTAGAAGTAGTAATTTTGTAGTCGTTCCTAAATATTTTGACACAAATGACGCATTCTGCTACTTTAAAGTTTTGCATGTTTTAATTGATTTCGAACATTTTTTGAAGCTAACGATTTAGAGTGCTAAGAAAATAATTAAAGTGCCAAAGTTTTTTTTTTTTTTTTCCTTTTTAATTCTACAATTGGGTACTTTCACTTCGAGAAGAAGTGAAGTGATTGTACCCAACCACGTAATTTTAATCAGGTTTAATTGGATTCCTGTAAGCGACGTTAAGTGTGTGTTTCGAACCCGATAGACTTCTGAATCGACAAATGCCTAAATTTAACTACCATGACATCACTTGCAGGTATCCAATTGTTATTCGTATATTTTAATTTGGAATGATTTTTGTTTTCGTTTATTTTTCTTTCTTACTTAGGCATGCAATTCAACTTCAACAAGCTTCCTCCACGAGATAACATTTTATACAATACTTTCGATTACAACTCCATCATGATTTATGGAAACAAATCTTTCTCCATGAACGGAAAAGACACCATGGTAGCCAGAAACGGACAGAAATTGTCTGACCCTTACAACAAGCCAGGAATGACCAAAAGCGATATCGAAAGAGTGAATAAAATGTACAATTGTGCATAGTATATTACAAAAATAAATAAAATCCAGCACTTCTTTATTTCATATTACATATTGTTTTATTATATTTCTTTAAGCACCATTCTTATAATACTGACCAAAAATAAAGCAAGAAAAAGTGTATGTCCATTACTCATCTTAAATTAATACTTAAACGAGTAAAACGCTATGAAAAACGCTGAAAAATCTGTCGGATCACTTATGAAGAAGGTGAGATTTTTTATTATTGCTTTTTTATTTTTTATTTTATAACCATCGTTAAACACGAATTCAATTTTGAATTTACGATTGCCAATGTTCAACCCTGTAGCCTTGCAATTTTGAAGAGTTGGCATGGAATTTCAAAGGATTGCGAACGAGTTAAAATGCGTCATATCGTTTCTACTGTCAACTCTGATTAACTTACTACCTCAATTTTTTTAAATAAAAATGTTTTTTCTAGTGTTTGCATCCTGTTTTACCAATGACTCAATATTTTATTTTATAGTCGTAGTTGAACTCTCGACCAAATTTTAGGTTTACGACTACTAATATTCAACTAAGTAGCCTTGTTGTTTTGAACCCAATCCAGAAGTCAAGGGAACTCCTGGGTCAAGAATTGAGAAAAATTTTGCTTTCGTGGAGGACGCTTTGCAGCACCTAACCTGTATTTGCGTCACAGAGAGAGGAAAACTACGAAAACAACACGGTTAGCCTGACGGCAAGGGGATTTTAACTACCATCTACCACTAGGGATATTTTACGTCGACACGGTGATCAGTGCGAGCCGGGTGTAGAATTCGTATCGATCAACCATCGAATTGAAACCCGATTCATCTCATTAGGAGGCGAGCGCTTTATCCCCTGAGCAATCCCAGCTAAAGAAGGTGGAATGAAAACATCAAGAATAGTTTGATTGCCTGATAAAATTTGAAGTGTTTCTGTCATTCATTTTTCAGGTTCTCTCTATTTCATCCGACAATTAAGCAGCTTTTGAATGCTTCATATTGGCCCTTTCTCAGTAGTTTTGACAGCGTTTTTTTTTATTTATAGAATTTCAGTTATCGACATTAATTTGCAACCTCTTATATGATATTTTTGACTTTTTCATACTGAAAAAAAAAAAAAATTGGGAAAGTGCTTATAAAACGTCGCAAATTTATGTTTATAGCCGTAAAGTGGAAGAAAAAAAATGCTGACGAAATACTTGGAATGAATGGTGAGGAAGATAGCATGAAATGCGTCAAAATCAGTTAGATTACCGTATGAAAATTGGAGATGTTTCTAACCTTCATCTTTGAGCCGTGATGGCTCAGGGGATAGAGCGTTCACCTTGTGATAAGGTGAACCGGATTTGAATCCCAGAGTTGACTGGTCGATACGAATTCCGCACCCGGCTTGATCCGACCGCAGTGCTGACGTAAAATATTCTCAGTGGTAGACGGATCACGGGTCAGAGTCCCCTTGCCATCAGGCTATTCCTGGGAGGTTTTCCTCGCCATGTAACGCAAATGCGAGTTAATTCCATCAAAAAGTCATCCACGAAGGCAAACTTCTCCCCATACTTGATCCAGGAGTTCCCTTGTCTTCTGGAGTGGGTTCAAAATTACAAGGCTTCAGAATTGTACAAGTCACAAACCCAAAAAAAAATTAGGTCGGCTGTTCAACAACGATTTTAAAATAAAATAACGTTCATCTTTTAATTCACCTAATCAGATAGATTCTTTATAGTTTTTAGACCTGCCTTCTTTAATAGGGTTTTTTTTTACGATTTGATCACGATTCGCTTTTAAATATTAATTTACGATCCCTAATGTGTTAACTTTTTTTTATCTTCCTTTTTGACTTTTCCTTCCTTTTTACCTTTTCGACTAAATCTATTTTCAAATGTTACAAATTTGTATGATAAAGTTTTTTAAAAATTAAATGGCGATATATTTTGATGAATTAATGCCAAACAATAATTCGTTGTAATTCAATAACTCTAACAACAATAACTAGTAACAGCAAGTATTGAGTACTCATAACACTAAAAAGGAGGAATCCTAGTTTGTTTATGAGATCACTAATATTCCTCATCAATTTATTTATTATGCAATTTGCTACAGATATAACTGAATTCATATGGCTAATTCACATTTTTTTTAAATTTACGTCAGAAAACTGCAATTGTCAAACACTAGCTTAAATTTTCAAAAAAAATTTATTCTCAAAATATTTATGATAAGAAAATTGTAAAAAATAATAAGTTATATTTTAGATTCCCATTTAACTAGATATCAACTAACTAGCATTCTTTTAAAAAATAAAAACTGAACTTCAAAATATATCCATACTTAAAGTTTTAATATAAAAAAATATATTATTGATTATATAGCATACCAAAGAAGGTTATTTTTACTTAGAAAAACTCAAATAAATAAAATGCAAAGATCAGTTTTACTTTAAAGTGAACGACAAATTAATTAAAGTGAAGTAGACTGCTGTTTAATTTTCAAATTACTAAGTGCTTTGTATGATATATAAAGCCGGATAAAAATTGTAAAATGGACTGATGCGAACAAATAAATACAGGAAGCGTGAAATTTAGGAAAAGGTTAAGGTAACGAGGAAAATTTAGATTTATTTCCTGCTTGAAAAATAAATAAATACGATAAAAAAGAACCTTTAAAATCAATCGAGAGCAGGTCATCTTTTTCGAAATAGGTTGCGTAAGAATATCTCACGATTTTTAAATGGTTCGCTAAAAAAACAAACAGAATAAAACTAAATGATGCGAGATTTCTGAAACAGAAGAGAATGGTTTTCTTCTATAATTAATCGCGATCATCCGACAAAGTTTAACATAATGGCAATTGTTTTTAATCCTCTATTTCATTCTGCTTCTAGGTTCTGGTTGGGACATTATCTTCTTAATATCGTCACAGGTCAGGAGGAAAAAAAGAAAAGAGTTAAATGATTTTTTTTTAAAAATCATATGACGTTGCGGAGCAATTTATAATAGTGAAACCTTCAGGAAAGACCACCTCTGTGTAGCCACTACCTCATTTCAAGGCACGGAATTTTTTTCCGTAGCGATTTGTAATAGTGAAACCTTCAGGAAAGACCATCTCTGTGTAGGGACTACCTCATTTCAAGGAATGGAATTTTTTCCGTAGCAATTTGTAATAGTGAAACCTTCAGGAAAGATCACCTCTGTGTAGCGACTACCTCATTTCATGCCACGGAATTTTTTCGTAGACTTTATGTTGAAGTAAACCTTTAGGAGAGACCATCGAAACCTCACCACAGAAAAAAAGTTTTAAAAAAAATGTCAAATAAGAAAACACGAAAGGATATAAAAATAAAAAATATTAACAAAACAAATAAGTAAACTCAAGTGTATTCAAAGTATTTCGGAGTGGTTCTTTTTTCCGATCTCTGAGGGAGATTGACAACCTCATGATACAGTCAGAGTGTAATAAAGACGACGCTATCAATGATTTAGTTTCAGAGTTGAAAGTTAAATTAGAAAAAAAAAGTTATTTTAGAAAAAAGCTAAGCATCTCAAACAAACAAACCTCTCAATTTTAAAGTAAATTAATTTTTATGATGTAAAACTAAATGCAAAACTTATAACAAAAAAACATAATTGCTTATAGATTTAAAATAGTTCTACCAATCATAATTGGTAAATTCGTTTTTACACATAATTATATCAGAAAGGATCCTTTTTATTGACTCCAAATTGTAATTTGGCGTCAATAACATTTTGAAGTCAATAGAGTTAACCTCTAAGAACAACCAACCTCCATTAACGACCATTTCATTGTGGAACAGAAAGTGGTCGCTCCCGTGAGGTTTCACTGTATATGATTGTAAACCTTTCTCTATATATATATCTATATAGATATTAAAAAATCAAAAGAGTTGTCGCCATTACGGGTGTTCATCGTCACATTTTGCTTTGCGGCACAAAAGCTATAAAACATCAAATTACGAATTATTGAAATTACGAAGGCGTGTTGAAAAATATACATGGAGTATTATAGAATAAAATAAATTAATATTAGATTTTAGGTTTGAAAACTATTAGTAATTAAACTTGTAAGAAAAAACATCCTGCGGGCCACTCTACAGTCTGCAAGAATTTAATTACAGAGTTGAGATTTAACAACATGAAAGGCCATGCTTGTATATGAACTCATCATGAGCTGTTCTGTAAAATTTCAATTTGTTCGAAAATTATTGTAATTTTAAGTGATTTGTAATTTGCGTTAGATTTTGTATCGTTGCACAAAATTTTTAAGATTTAAATAGTTTGAGAATTATTAACTGTTAAACTTAAAGTTAGGAAAAAGAAAAAAAAATACAGTGGTTGATTTACTGGTCTTTGAAATAAAACTACAGACTTAAAATTTAAGATGATTAAAGGGTCATTTTAAATTATAAGATAAATGTGCGTCTTTTTTTCACCAATCTGTTTGAAAGTTATTGCAATTTTAAGTGCGCTTTTCGAGTTTTATTTTCTTCACTTTAAATAATTAATCAACTCAGACTTTATTTGATGACGGAAAAAAAATTGATAAATAAATTAAAAGAAATAAGAGAAAGCGATCAAATGTTGCTAAATATAAATCATAACATGTATGCAACGAATTTTTTTAAAAAAGAAGAGAAATACAATTCTATATTTTAGTAGAAATTTTAAAGATTTAAATTTTCAGTACTAAATAATAGTTATGAGAAGTTAACCTTTCCTTTGTCGAGTTGAACCTATAAATGTTCATTATTCAGTTGAATTTAATAATTCAAAGTCAACAGGAAAGGCAGTAAATAATAATAAATAAAAAAAGAAATTGTGTACTATGTACTAACTTTGCGAGGTGATTCAGGCAGGATTGAAAAAAGGAGTTTGATAAGTACCGCGAAGTTTACCGTGATACCGACAAAAATGATTATAAGATATGCATGCTAAAAGTAATTATCTTCGAGAATTATAGTTGTGATTAGGCGAATCTCGATTGTTACGAATTAATTTTGCAAAAAGTATACGAATCCCCGTTTTTTCTTTCTCTTCAATGAAA